CAGGTTAAAAAGGTATGGAGACAGAACACATCCCTAGCATATGCCCTTCCCAATTTTGAACCATGCAGTGTTTCCTTGCTCTGTTCTGACGACTGCCTCTTGGTCCAAGTGTAGGTTTCGCATTAGAACGATCAAGTGTTCTGGGATTCCCATTCTTCTCAGAGTCAACCACAGTCAAACACCTTTGCATAGTCAATAAAACACAGATATACATTCCTCTGGTATTCCCTGCTTTCAGCTAAAATCAACCTAACATTAGCTACAATATCCCTAGTACCACGACCCCTTCTAAACCCAGCCTGGACTTATGGCAGTTCTCTGCTGATGTACTGTTCCAGTCGTTTTTGGATAATCTTCAGTGAATACCACTATCATTCAGATATATGCAACCAGAGCCAAGGAGGAGGAAATAGAAGATGTCGGAGATCGATCGAACAAGCAATCAGTATGCATTGATAATAATGGGTGACTGGAATTCAAAAGTTGGGAACAGAGAAGAAGATTCAATAGTTGGAAAACATGGACTAGGTGACAGAAATGGAGCTGGAGAGAGAATGATTGAATTTTGCACAATTAATGGCTTATTCATTGCAAATACTTTTTTAGGAGACATAAATGCAGGTTATATACATGGATTTCACCTGATGGTATGCATATGACTCAGATCTATTACATCTGTGGAAAGAAATGCTGGAGAAGCTCAATAGCAGCTGTGAAAACTAGGCCAGGAGCTGATTGTGGAACAGACCACCAACTGCTCATATGCAAGTTCAAGCTAAAGCTGAGGAAAATTAAAACGAATCCACAGGAACCAAAATATGACTTTGAGTCTATCCCACCCGAATTTCAGAACCATCTCAGGAACAGGTTTGAGGCTTTGAACACTAATGAGCAAAGACCAGCTGAGCTGTGGGAGGATATCAAGGGTATCATCCAGGAAGAGTGCAAATGGTCATTGCAAGAACAGAAGAGGAAGATAAGACCAAAATGGATGTCAGAAGAGACTCTGAAAATTGCACTGCACTGGAGCGCAGAGAAGCCAAAGCACAAGGAAGAATTCAAGATACTAAAGAATTGAATAGAAGATTTCAAAAGGCAGCATAGGATGACAAAGTAAAATATTACAATGAAATGTTCAAGGAGTTAGAGTCAGAAAATCAAAAGGGCCGAACTCACTCAGCATTTCTTAAGCTCAAGGAACTGAAGAACAAATTCAAACCTCTAGTTGCTGTAATCAAGGATGCTTTTAGGCAGAATATTAAATGATCCAGGGAGTATTAAAAGAAGATGGAAAGAATATACGGAGTCACTGTATCAAAAGGAATTGGCAGACACAGAAGAATTTCATGAAACAACATATGAGCAAGAGCCTATGGTGATGAAGGAAGAAGTTCAAGCTGCTTTTAAGGAAATAGCAAAAAACGAGGCCCCAGGAATAGATGGTATACGAATTGAAGTATTTCAGCTAACAGATGCTGCCCTGAATATGCTCACCAAGTTATGCCGAGAAATCTGGAGAACAACCACTTAGTCAACTGACTGGAAGAGATCTATATTTGTTCCCATCCCAAAGAAGGGTGACCCAGCAGAGTGTGGAAACTATAGAACAGTATCATAAATTTCACATGCTCCTAAGTATACAACTAAGAAAACTGAAAACATATTTTCATACAAAAACATGTACCTGAATGGTCTCAGGAACGTCATTCAGAATACCCAGAAAAGGGAAACAAGCCCCTCCGCCTTCCCAAGCATTATGTCATGTTAGAAGAAGTTAGAAAAGGCTATTCCTTGGAAAGTGACACATGCCTGGAAAGGAGGAGGGTCAGCAAAGGAGGGGAAGCCCCTCAGTGAAATGGACACAGTGTCGTCAGCAGTGGACTCTACTGTGTTGGAGAAGAGAAGGACGCACAGGATTGACCAGGTTCAGAGCTGTTGTTCGTAGGTTCGCTGTGAATCCTGTGGCACTTTCAACAACAGGCTGAGGGAAGAAAGGATGGGAAGTGATTGCCAAAAGAATTGGGAATTCTTGAGGTCATTAAAATATTCTGTTATTAGATAGTGGTGATAATCGTACCAATTTGTGAATACAAAAACCACTGAATTACAAACTTTAAACGAGTAAAGTTTCTGATGTGTGAATTTTTCAAAGTAATTTTAAAACTCCCTATATACAGCCTTTCTCCCCACAGTATCCAGACAGTGCTTTTAAAGGGTAAGTTGGCTCACTTTATTCTGGTAAATTAAAAGTTCAGTGACTTCTCACCTAACTGGAAATAAAATTCCAAGTCCTTACCCGTGGCCTACAATGTTTTATATATTTTTAATTCTCCTGTTAATTAGCATCCTTCTGCCAATTGTGCTGCAATGAAGCTGGCCTCCTGGCTGGCTTAACTATCATGCTAGTTAATTACCCTTCTCCCTCAGGGTCTCCGTATGCTGCCTTGAAACACTCCCCTCAGATACCTGCAAGTATAGGCCCCATGCTTCCTTCAGATTTCAACTCTAATACGGCTTCCTTGAAGAGATCTTACCTGACACTCCTTAAATGAGACCCTTCTCCCTCCCTATTTTTATTTTCTTCATGACATTTATTTTAATCTGATAGATTCTACGTATGTATGATTATTCTTCTTCTGTGTGTGTCTCTCTACTAAGAATGCACACCCTGTGGAAAAAAGTTTGGTTTGATTCTAGTTATATCCCAGAATCTTAAAAATTGGCAACTAGGACATTCTCCACGGGACCTGTTCAATAAATGGGTAAATGAATTAAAACAAATTATAGGAGAAAGTGGTAATTAAGTCCTGAGAAGAACTGCCACATGACTAGGAATGTCTCACCTCCTCCAGGTTGTTATAGGGCTCATGGCAGTAGTTGCAATATCCTTGTCCACTCTGCATGTTGAATATCCAAAGTCAAATAGATACCATCCTTGAAAACTGTAGGGTGGAAAAAAGAAAAATAGTCAAAATTACAATACTATTTTTGTGTGAAACGTGTCAGGCCACCAGACAAATGGCTATGGCCAGTCACTGCACAGGACAGAAATATGTGTCTCCTCTCATAAAGATCTGCAGCTAGTGTGAGTCAGAATTGACTGCTAGTGAATTCTGCGTGTTAACTGTGAAGGAAGTGACTAGTCTAAGATAAGGTCACTTACTTGTCCTATTGACTCCTATTGCTAATACTTAGGTATAGTAGAGAAGGGTACCATGAGGTCTCAAATCCATCAGTGAGCCTGGAGTTGAGATGAAAGGTAAGAATCTTCCACAACATAATTTGTAACTAATGTTTGATGCCGGAGGACTAAATTGAGAAGTAAATTGTCTGGGGGGAGAGATTATGTAACAATGAAAGAAATTTTTTCTTTTACTTTTCAAAGAGAAGAGCAAATTGGTGGGGGGAGGGGGAAGACAGGGAGAAAAGTGCAACCATGAATGAATGAATGAAAACCCTAAGGAAAAAAAAGAAAATACTAAATTTTATTCATATAGTAGGTACAAGACAATGGAAGGAAATATATGACAAAAATCAAGATTTTGGTAAAGACCTAAACTGACTTTCTAGAACTGAAAAGAAAAGTTAAATATCTAAAAATTTTGTAGTTATTAGGAATCCATCCATTATAGACTATACCACTCCACTTTTAAAGAGAAGTTAAAATTTTTAAGATATGACTGTAATACCTTTACAGTACTATGAGACTCGTTTTTCCCGTCATTCCTATATAAGGATCCAGATTACAAGAGTTAGTAACACTACATATAACTTGAGTCTGTGGTGTTATTTTTTGCCTTAAAAGCAGATTTTAAAATAATTTAACCAGCAGAATCCCTAAAGATTGAAATAACAACTAATTTAAATTGTGAAGCACAGACACTGTCTTCTGACAATTATATGAGCCAGGTAAGTTTTATGTAAACCAGGCAAGTATGGGGATTATGTAAATAAGGTAAGTATGAGGAATAACAACTAATTTGAATTAGCACAGACACCGTCTTTTGACAATTCTATAAACCAGGTAAGTATGGTGTAAATCAGGTGAGTATGAAGATGTACCACTAATACCTGCTTGTCTGTTGGAAAATATACAAAGTAAAGGTTCTGTAGTGTACAGAATTCCTAAGTTTTTTTACATAAGGTAATTATTCTGAAAGTGAGAAAATTTAATCCTTAACACCAATTACTTAAAAAATGAAATTGTAACATTAAAACCAATAACATGAGCATAGTAAAGCTTGCTTTAATAAGCCAAAATGGTATCATAACATTTACTTACATGTTTCTTTTTATTAGGGAAAACTTAAATTCCGATTTCCCTCACTTGTGGCAGAAATAAATCAATAGAACCAGCCTCTGAAATAAGAACACATAAGAAATTACTTACTTAAAATTTGTTCTTTTTCGACTAATTTCTGCATATATTAAGCTGAAGCAACAAAATAAAACTTTGAGTTATAATTATAGACATGGTCATCTTCAGACTATGACAACCCTAGAGCTTAAGCCAACAGTATGAGCATCATAAAAAGACACACATTTTAGGGCTTTATTGAAAATATAATTAAAATATGCATTGAATTAAAGGCAAAATCAAGTATGAGTTTATCATAAAATGTTTACATGTACACTTAAATTCTCAAATTGAAAAAAAAAATATATGTATGTATGTATATATATTTAACCTTATAGCTGTAACTCCCATGGAATTTTTGCCTGTCATTTCCATAATTCCTAATGCCATAAAAATCCTACAATAGCAGTAAGCTACAGGTGAGTCTGAAGCATTTGTTGATATTTCAGAAATTCATATGTCAGAATCCCACCTGAAGCTTAATCAAACGTTCCTGAAAGGAGCCCAGACACATGAATATTGCAGGTATTTAAAAAACTCCTAGATGATCTGATGCAGACTGATGAAATATTATGTCACCACTGTTACCTCTATTAATAAAATTCTCACTTATTGAAAGAATAACAGAAGCTAAAATTCTAATATTTTGCATGATTGAATAGTCATCTTAAATTCTGAATTCTACTTATATCTGATACCTTTTTCAATAAAATGTTTATTTTATACTAGTTTACTTAACAAAGTACACTGATTGTCACACCGGATCTTATATCTGATAATATTTCTAATGTAACCTGTTATTTACCTTTAACAGAAAAAAGGTAGGCATCTCCTCAGAGATCTTGATCCTGGTAAACATCTGTAAGATAAAATACACCATTTATAAAGAAGCTAAGCCCCCCTCGATATGTATCAACTCTTACATAGTCACTCCATGTCATCTTTGCTTAAATGTTAAAGGAGGAAAAATATTAACTTCTGTATACTAAGAACTTTACATACTCGCTGAATCCCACATGACCTCCTAAAATACTCTGGAGTAGAGAGATTGAGGACCCATCTAACCCATTATCGACCACTTCAGATCTCTGGTTTCCAGGGACGATAGTTTTAAAGAGCATCTGTGCCTTTGTCATGGTCAAGAAGCCAAGAAGCTATCAAACCTAAAATGAGCTCTGTGAGAAGCTTTTAAAGGAAATATATACATGAGATTCAATTTGGGTCTTGCACTGACTGCCCAAATCCTAGCTAGTCTTTTTGTTTTAATGGAAAGAGTTGTCCATTTAAAAAAATCTCTATCAATGAACATTTAAGCAGAAATAATGCTCAGTTCTTTCCCCTTCACACTGTCAAGATCAAAATGAACCCTTACGCAAGTTTATTGGCTAACAAAACATTCAAAAACCGTGGACTCGTAAGAGCCAGTGACACCACTGCAAAATCAGCATTGCTGTGTAACTCTATTGCTATGCAGAGGTCTGTGTGTGGAGCTTTATGGATACAGATAACCAGAAAGAAAAAAAATTCTCTAAGATGTTTACAATGGGATTGGGAAATTAATACAAGTAAGAGTGCCAGATAGTCTTTTAGAATAGGGCTGTAATGGCATAGCCCATTTGGGTTTATGCTGCTAACCCAAATGCCATGCCCCTTCCATGTCATTTACAACCTCGGTAACTCAGTGGAAGGCCAGATTGGAGTAGGTCTAGCTCCACGGCAATGAGATGGATGAAATGGGTTTAGCTTTAGCTGTGATGACCAATGATAAAAAAAAACAACAACCCAACTATATGTGATTTAAAAAACAAAACAAAACACCCAAACACCCACACATGCGCACACGTGTGTGAGATCTTCCCAATGCCAAACAAGTCAGGGTGCAAAAGTACAAAAATAAGTCAACAAAAGAAAAGGAAAAATAAAAAATTGAAGTCCTTTTGATACATTTGGAGAGAACAAGTTGACAAGTTCAGCTGAATCTAAGATTTCATTTGAGAAAATAAGGAGAAATAAGCATGGGATATTTGGCTGGGTTTCCACAGAAAATTTAAAAGCAGGATAGAGATTTTAGATTGTAGCTTTTAAGTGGTGTAGATCTTTAGAAAGGGATACATATATATTCAAGGAATGCTTTAAGAAAATTGTGGATTCTTCTACTCAAAGGAGTTCTTCAAAGAGTAAGGGAAAAATTGTTAACTTTGTACCATTTATGAGAACATTAGGATTCTCAGAATTCCTAAGATACAGAATATCAGTGCCTGTGATTTAGATAACACTCAAAACATCCCAGTTTAAAGAGTCAGTATCCCTTAGAACCAATAAAGATTTTAAGGTGTATTTGTGCTTTGTAAATTATGAAAATGTACACTCTTTATTTTTAAATTGGCTTTTATTAATTTTTCTATTAGAAAAGTAAAACATATTTGTTGTAGAGCAACTAAAGAATACAGATAAAGTAAATATTAAATCAATCTTAAATGCACCACTTAGTAATTGTTAAATAATCTTTGTTCTAAATATACATGTACAAAATGTAATGGTACTGCAGATTTAATAGCTTGCTTTTTTACTTAACCATCTGATTGCACAGTGGTCCATCAGTGTGAAATAGAAACTGCCCTGATTGCTGAGTTAACCTTCTTAGAGTCAGTGACTATGATTTTATAAATATCTGTACAGACAACCTTGATATTTTAACTTAAGCTTTTAAATGTATTGGGTGATTTAAAGTTAAGTTGGCTTTACAGTTTTCTTGAGGATTTTTTTTTTATGGCTAGGATTGGTAGAGTTCTAATCACTGTTTTTCATAAACCATATTTATAAACCACTGTCAAGCTTCTCTCTAAAGCAGAAAAAGAACTTTAAAACATTTACAACAATGAGAGAAATATGACTGATTTTTTAGGATTTTTAAAAAGCATTTAATTTTTATAGAAACAATAGTGCTGACTTTCACAATTATAAAATCAAATGTGGGCACATGAAGAGCCACCTCTGAACTTAGATTACTTCAGCACCACCAACTCAGTGTTGTTGTTGTTGTTGTGTGCTACAGAGTAAGGATTGATTCTTGGTTGACCATGCAGAAAGTTTTTAAGAGATTGCAAATCCCTCTGAAGGAGTTTGCTCATCTGTCTCCTATGACAGCAGCTAGTGGCTTGGAACCACTCACGGCTGAATTGGCAGAGTAATTCTCTGTCCAATGGGCCACCAGTTGTGTCTTTTTTCTTAAGGAATTTCTTACACTTCTGAAAGTTGTACCTACTGCAAAGATAAATATTAGTAAGACGACACGTAATTGAGATGTGTTAGGAGTTGTACTGTGCACATCTAAAATGAACTATGATGTCGAAATAACCAACAAAATCAGGCAAGAATTTGTCAGTTGCCTCATAGGCTCTAACAGATAATAAGTAAGAAAAGTCCATAGAAAATAAGTAATGGACATTTAACTTAATAGAAAATAACATATTGAAGGTAGATAACTCTGGTATAGCCTGTAAGGAATTGCCCTACAAACCCAAGGTGGTATCTCTCTGCTAGCTC